TCTATCTATCTATCTATCTATCTATCTATCTATCTATCTATCTATCTTTCACCTCACTATATCTATCATCTATCTATCTATCTATCTATCTATCTATCTATCTATCTATCTATCTATCTATCTATCTATCTATCTATCTATCTATCCATCCCAAAGGCACTTTTTCAAGAGGCAACTGGATTTTCTGGAAAGTCCAGTTGCCTCTTGAAAAGGCACCTTTGGGACAACCATGACCAGAATGTCCATAGACATTCTGTCTCTCCCACTCTCTCTCTCTCTTTCATATTTCTGAACGGCCCATCCCTCTCAGAGATGGGATCTCGGCAGCATGTAATATAATCAATAAAATTAGCATTAGAAAGGAAAGGCTCAGAAGAACATGGGTCAAATAGGCAATACATAATAATGGTGAAATGGTTTGATGAGGTTGCTAGGCCAACCATATGACACTTATGATTCAGCCATGCCTTTTCTGTCTGGTTTCTCATCCTATAGCACCCCAGCTTGCAAAATTGGCTCGGAGTTTCCACTGCAGTACCATGAAGTATGTCAGAAGTGAATGGAGAATGAAGTGAGTGCCTGCTTTATCCATCCATCCATCCATCCATCTACCTAACTACCTACCTATCACTGTCTATATCTACTATCTACTGTATATCTATTATCTATTGATCATCTTATCTATTATTTATTATCTGTATCTATCATCTTTCTGTTATCTGTGTCTACCATCTATCACCTACCTATATCTATCATCTATATTGATCCTTTATATCTATCTATTTATCACTGTCTATTTATCATCTACTGTTGTGGTTCGCCGGTCGCAGGTGCAGACAGCTGAGGTCTCTGAGAGCGAGGACTTGGACGAGGGGCCTGCATGTGATGCAGGGATGGAGCCAGGACTATCGGAGAGTGGGGTGCTGCCTTCGGAGGTTGTGGAGTCTGGCAGCAGTGACAAAGAGGACCCCGGGGAGCCTGTGCTCAGTGCGCGCGCGCGCAAGGCTGCTCAAAGGAAAGAGCAGCTGAAGCAGCATGGGCGACTCAAGAGTAAGGCTGGAAGGTGATGGCCCCTCCCATAAGGGATAAAAGTCTTTGGGGTTGCCTTCTTTGCAGGAAGCAAATAAGTTCTTTATGCTCAGAGTTCTCGTCCTCCGGTTTGTTTTTGGAAACCTCTGGCTTTGGATATTTATCTGCAATTAGTCTTTTGTTCTTGACAGCCTTTTGCAACCTTGAAAGAGCTGGCTCTTATCTGGGACAATTAGTTCTGAATGACTCTTGGCTGTGAATGAACAGAATTCATAGCACCGCATGAAAAAGGTTTATTTTTATACATACTTTCTATTTGTTTGATTTGAACAAGGCTGTCACAGCCTGCTAAGCACTGGATACATTTACCACAAATCACGTTACTCACAAGTCAGTGAAACACGATGAAAAAGGTTTAATGTAGAATCTCCAGATGACATTCAGTATTGACAGTAGCAATGATATGTTCAAAGTCAGCGTTGAGAGCAACCACCTCCCCATGCTGACTTTATAACAATTAACACAGCATAACCATGTAATTTACAATAACCCTGCTATTACACCCCCGTGATCCAATAAACATATAACAACCCTATCATTACATCCACGCGCCCTGCAATCACCCTTACACGCTTCCACCCCGTGCCTAAACGCTCCCTCTACATTCTAACTCTGCCTTAAAGAAATAAGTCTATATTCTAAACCAGCGGTCGCCAACCGGTGGGCCGCGGCCCACTGGTGGGCTGTGAGGAAATTTTGGTGGGCCACAGAGAAATCTCACCCCCAGAGCACCCCCCCAAAGCAATTAATCCAGGCTGCATCTATATTTATCACTGTCTAGTTATCATCTATCATCTACTGTATATCTATTATCTATCATCTCTAGCTATTATCTATCATCTATATCCACTTTCTTTTTTTAAAAAACAAGTTTTATTTTTCAAGACAAACAATACATAAATACACATAAACACATAACATAAAAGTATAAAAAATCTCTTTTCTGAAAGTTGCTTATTCCCGGGTTAAAACTCTTGGTACAGACACAAGTTCAATTTCATATTCATTTTACATACCATTTCATATCTTCTTAACATTTTCAATTTTCTATATAACTTCTCCTCTCCTTTAAATTTTCTCAATTTTATTTTTTTATTTTTTTTATCTCCTCTCAATTCATATCGTAATATTTATTATTCTTTGTCTGTTCTATTTCTAATCATTTATTTTTCTTCTTTAATAAAAAAGAAGAAGTACTTCTCCTATACACTATACGGAGTATGATGCCTTTATCTTTTTCCCCTATATTTATAGTACTTAATATAAAATACATAACATACATTGGGATTCTGTCTGGTACATTCTAAAATTATACTATATTATCAAAAATAATACAAATCTATTCATTAATATTGATCTTAGATGTTTAACTCATTACTTTTCAATTAAATCACATGCTTTTATGAGAGCCCTATTTTTCAAAATTATTCCCCCCCCCCTCCCCTATTATAGCTCAATATTTCATTGAAATGTTCCTCCTTCTTCTACTTCAAATCTCATTTCACAAAGGGTTTGCTAATATACCATCTTCTAATTATTAATATTAACAATCATTTATATCTTAAACATTTTATCCATTTCAATTGAATATCATGCCTTTGTGGGAACACTTATGCTTTCCACGATTATTACCCCCCCCCCCCCCCACATCACAATCTTGAATCATATTTCATTACAGTACTCCCTTTTTCTTAACAAAAATTTCACTTGTTTATGTTAAATATTTTATCACATTTTAGGTTACATATTGTTTCTAATTTTCTATGTTTACTTCTAAATACAAGTATAAAAAAGCAATCTTATGTACCTTTCTAGAATCCCTTTAACCATAAAGCTTATCCATTATCTCTAAAAAAAAATTGCTTCTTAACATCTTGCTCCCCACCATTAGGACTTCTCATCCCTTCCTTTCTTTCTTGTTTCTTCTTCTCCTTATCCTCTTTAACCCCTTGTCTCTCCACCTCCCTTTTATTCTGCTTTCCCCCTTTCTGTTGTTTCTTAACATAATGTCCCCTTTTCACCTTATTCTTCTCTTTTTGGGCTATTTTTCCAGATCTTAGAGACCTTTTCCCCTTTTTCTCTTGCTTTTTCTCTTCTCCAGTCAAAGTAATTTGTTCATCAAAGATGGCTTCTCCTTCTTCTTTGTCCCCATCATCCTCATTCTGCTTCACATAAGTATAAACCGCCATTTCCAAGTATTGAAAAATAGTGTCAAGACCATCTTCCCCTCCTTGTTTTTCTCTTTCAAATTTTTGATATATAAGTTCCAATTCATCCATAGATGATGCCATTGTGTAGAGAAAAAGTTTTTCCAAACAACCACCCAGATGATTTAATCAGAAGTAATTTCCAAAGGTTCCAAAATCACCAAACAATCCAAACAGACTGTTTCTTTTAAATACCTTCTTCTTCTTGACTTTCTCTTTCTGGGGTTAAAGTAATCACAAATTCTTTTCAAATATATTTTTTTTGGAAGTTTTTAAACTCTTTGCAATTCTAGGCAATCTTCTCC